AATTAGTTCTAGGGAATTTCAAATGAACATGTAATTAAACAGGAACCTCTAAGTTATATATAAATAATTATCAGAAATAAAGTAATATTTCAAGTGAAGCAAACTTGAGGGTCGATAAAACATTCTATTGTTTTCCGTGTATTTAGTTTGAGTTTGAATGGTGTTTTGATGTTGGCGCGATGATAGGGGCGTGTCGAAGCATTCGCATTGGGTGCTAAAATTCGATGCTGGCCGGCGGCCATGGGTTAAGGGTTCAAGAGTATGAGTGTTCAAGAGGATTGCCTTTGCCTGCGCTTCCTGCGGGGCAGATAAGGCGTGAATCAGAGGAGCTTGTTGAATCAGGCGAACCCTTTGTGTGTGTGAATGTTGTGCCTCATATCAATTCGAGCAAACAAACGACAATAATAACAACGAATTTATTTTGTTTCGCTTTGGCCTCCGAAAAAATAAATACAAAAAAATAAAAAGGAAAACCCCCAAACAGGCACCCATCCATATATGTTAATCATCCATTCAAACAGTTTTCAGCTCATATAACATCACGAAAGAATGCGTTCTCCACTCCAATGGGTAGGGTTGTGGGCCTGGGAATGCATTTTGAAGAGGAACAGCCGGAACAGTGGCACCCCTTGATCCAATGTCTGGCCTCAGCCCATCCCAAGCGTCGCCTTCTGAGCTATATTTCACACTGTCTGTTGCTGCTGTTGATGATGAGATGGGATGGCAAGCCCAAAAATGAAATCAATTTACACACCCCACTGTGTGAGCTCGAACCCCCCTCCATGTTGTTCTCCCCCTCTGAGCCCCTGAACCTTTTGTATAAGGGATCTTAGCGCCTAAGTGCATCAATTGACGCTCTTTTTTCAGATGGAAAGTTCCCCCAATTGCATTAAACAAATTGAAAATGCTTGGAGAGCCCGAGAGAGATGCTGGAAAAGAGAAAGCACTCTGCACTCTATACACTTTAAGGCAGAAAATTCTATTAAGCCGACTGTCCGTGACATTTTGTAATTGAAATCTGTGGTCACCAAGCCTCGAAGTATACAAAAATTAATAAGCCAAATAAAATATCGACTAGTCGATGGATTGATCCCAACAAAGGCAATTTATCAAGTGGCCTAATCATAGAGGGGGGAAAACCGAATTGAAAAGAAATTAAATATATATGTAAGTATGTAGAGGTCTGAGTCAGGCTGGAAGATACTAGGAACCCAAAACAGGATGGAGGCCTCCAATGATAATGATTGATGGCTCTGCAGAAAGGAATTTTGTTGTTGCTGATAAAAAGAGAGGCCTGTGAACAACAAGAATACAGAATACAGAATACAGAATACTTTTCCGATATACTACACTTGTATTCTTGACTTTTTATATATATGCACATTCACTTCAAAAGCATTGAAAGCAGTAAAAGGGAATTTTTCTTTTTTTATACTTTAGTCAAGATAAGTTCATTTCTCGGCTCTCTTTTTATCGAGTTCTGAATAAAAAATGTACAAACTTGAAATAAATATGAAATATTAATGAGGAAGATGATAAATGTGGGCAAAGCCCAGGGAGTAGGAGTGCCAAAGATTTGCGCCTCATTTAAAGGGGATTCATTCCTTTGGGGGGTTTCAAGGTTAACTGTCACTAAATGACTCAGCAAAAAGACACATCCCAACACACACACACACACATTATTATGACAAATTGATTACATGTAATTTTGTGTCTCCGCTCGGCTCCTTTGATTAGGTGCCAGCTGAAAGAGACTCGAGCGAGTTGCTTCCGAAAATTTGTCTTATTTCTGTTGATTTATATCTTCGTCTTGGCATAGTTTGTCTCCCTCGTTTTTGTTGGAGTGTATGGGTGTGTATTAGTCTGTGTGTGTGTCTCTTTTATTTGATTTCAGCTAAGATGATTTAGCCTTAATGCATTGAATCGAGCCAAACAGGAAACCTTTGAAGAAGCTCATAGCTCTGATGCTGCCCAAAAACATTTTTGGGGCCAATTGAAGGAAGTGGAAGTTGGTACAGAGAAAGAAAAGCTATTACTACAACATTTTTAAAAGAATTTAAAATGTATTTCTATATTCTTAATAGTTAAAAATATATTTTAAAGTTCTTGAGGTTAAGCAAACCCTTTAAGAAACCCAGAAAATGTTACTAAATAATTGTTAAAATTTATTAAGAAGCCTTGAATTATATTAATGATATTAAATATTTTTATAAAAAGTTAATTTCCTTTGAAATATATACTTAAAACTTTTATTTCCGGTGCCTGAAAGTAACGTCTTACAGTTATAAATTAAATTTTTCATTCTACTTACATTCGTTCCGGCCAATCGTCTTCCTCCCTTCTCTCCTTTTATTTTTGGTATGTTTTTATTTACGGTAAATTTCATTTCGATTTCTTTTTCGATTTTTTTTTTTCCTTTTTTTTTTGGCTGAATCGGCTGTCTGCACTCCTTGAGACAGGCAACCAAACTGCGATACCAAACCGAATGGCCAATCAATAACATTGGGCAAGGCATGCAGCCCCCGGAAAACCCGAATGCCCCGACTATGGAACACTCTAAACACCAATTGATGTTTATATGATAATGATTAATGACTACGTTACTTTTACACAGATTGCTTTCCGAATGGTTTTCTGTATCGCTGTGTGTGTGTGGAAAGCCTATTTATTTATAGGCCCCTGCACAAAAGACCATTTTCCTTCTGCCAAAGACTGGCGCCTAGCTCTTTTCCCTCTTTCATCTCCACTCTTTTGACAGAGTTTTAGTTGCGTTTAGCTTAATATTTTTTTTGGGGGAAAATGTCTAAGCAGAGCGCGCGTCTCATTACCAGACATTCATCAATTGCTGGCAATTTGTTTGCAAGTAAAACGGGGAAAATGTAGCAGGCTGCTTGTCTTTGGCAGCTTCCTGTTATTCATTTGGGTTTATCCTGGGGTGAAGAAGGATATCTAAGGTTGGGGTTTAAAGTAAATATCAGCTAGGGGATTAAGGTATTTAATGAGATACAAGTTTTGGAGGCTTAAGACCCTTTTTAAAGCATTTTAAAAGAATTTAAAATTTTATTGCATACTTTTAGACACTATTTTAGGATATATTAAATCGCTAGTAATTTTTCTAGCATTTCTAGAGAGTATATCAGGTGGCAAAGTCTCCTCCTCTTCTCTCCTCTCTTCTTCTCGACTTCCTGACATTCTTCTGACCAACTTGTAACTGTTACTAATGATGACAACTTATTTTGGCCTAAATGGTCGGTCGGGCAACACTTTTATTGGTTTTTGTAATTAATGATGCTGGCCGAAAAGTGCGGAAATGACTTTGTGGTTTGCTCCGAGGTGTTGTAGACACCACCGCCCATTCTCCACACTCGAATATCCTCAAACCGAAAAAGGTAGAACCGTAGTCTAGCCCTAAGTTTCCATTAATCAAATGCACTGATTAGAGAGTTGCAAGCCTGGCAAAAAAAAAAGGAGATCCAGGACCAAAAGTCGGGTCAGAAAGTGCCGACGGGTTCTGACTTTTATGGGCTGTCGTCCGATTGTCACAGTTGTCAGTTGGCCGGCGCAAATTACATTCGTGGCAATTAAATTAGGCAAGCAATTAGGCCGGGCCAGCAGAGGAAACAGGGGGGTAAAAGGGTTGCCACCCCCTCGCGCTGCACATCGCAGGAATATCGATGAGCTGAAATTAATCAAAGGCGAAAGTAATCATTGAGTCTCGACATGGCCAAATGGAATGTCCATGCCGGTCCGTGGAAGGCGTGGCACTTTCTGTTGGCGTTAATTGCTCGGCGTGTTCTCGGTCCCTGCTTTGTTCTTCATTTCTTTTGGCTGTTGCGCCTTTTTACAATTTCATTTGTAATTTATCATTGTTTGCCTTCGCTCTGGGTTCCTTTCCACTTCAAAAAACAACACACAAAAAAAAGGAGGGGAGAGAAAAGCAGGAAAGAAAGGGTTCCCTCGATTCACTTTACTTTGGCATTTAAATATTTTATTGAGTGCCTCAAATTGTTAATTGTTTTTTGATGGAGGATGAGGAGGAGTCCAAGGAAAAGGGATCTCTCTCTCTCCCTTGAGCCAAATCGATTCTAATTAGGGAGACTTTGTGTGGCCATATCTATGGCAGCGATGGCCCCGATTTTTCCCCTCCTAACTGAGTTAGGCAACCCTTTTGCCGGGTGTCCTGAAACTTGGCAGGCAAGTTTGTCAATTGAGTTAATTTGGGCCATGGCTTTATGCATGCCTGATGCGCTCTTTCGCGGCTTATCCTTGGAGTAGTCCTTTCACGCTGGCAACATCAAAGAGCAGCCGGCCAGACAGGTGAAAATGTGCTGCGACTCCTCGCATGGAACTTGATCAAAGGACAAGCAAACAACAAACTTTTTCCAGGCTCCTTTTTTATATACTTTTTGCGGCTGAAAGGTGAGAAGCATTCCAAGAATTCGTAATGAAGCCACGATGACGTTTTAACTTTGGCAGGCGGAGACCCCACAATATGTTTTTTTGGGGTTTTGTCGCGCTGACAGCTTTTAATAAAAGTTGCTCTCTTCTGGATTTTCATTTTGATTTTCCCCCTAACTCAGAGGCCTCGTTTGCAACCCTTTTTTAACGGCTGCCTAACCAAGTCCCTGACCTTCTTCATGTGACATATTTTTAAGTAAGTTGTCAAATTATTTTCACTGTTCTAAACAGCAGGCCAAATGAAATTGCCTTCTACCCTTGCGGTTTTCTCCTGCCTGCTTTGTTTGTTTTCTTTTTTCTGGAGGGGAACGGGAAAAGTCAAAGGCTAATAAGGAGAACCTTTTTTTTTTTTTGGAAATCGAATACACACAAAAGAGAAGATGGAAAGACAGCAAACTCACTCCCTAAAGAAATTCGAGACCTGTAAAGGAAAATGCATTCTCATAAATCTTAAAAAGAGCCTTCCATTTTGATGACAATCTATCGGCTTTACACGTATCTTTTAACACATAAAAGAAATAAAAAATCCAACGAAACATCAACTAATTGTTATACTTTTGTTTTTCCTCTCCTTGCAGGTAATTTCCAAAGTCATGGACCTCCACCAGAATAATGCACAGCTTCATGAGGACGGCCAGGGCGAAGATGGTCAGAACGAGGGTCTTCTTGGGTCGCTGGAACTGCTCATCACAGTCAATACTTTCCTGTGACATGATTTACCAGAGTTTTTCCAGGGGATATTTTGATTTTGGTATTCGATCTTTGAGTTTGTTGGCAAAGCCAGAGCAGTAGAGAGAGATTTTCACCACTCGACGTGTGAAATGCGTAGCCAAATACAGTGAAAGCCAGCTGGCAAACAAAAGATCTCCATTCGAATGCACATTTTGTGGTTTGCTGCATCTGCTGCTGTTGCTGCTGCTGTTGCTTCTGACCGAAATGAAAATTTTCACACATCCTCCCCAGAGAGTGGCAGACCAAAGGCCCGCCGCTCATTATGGCCCGGGCGCCCACAGTACGCAAATTATGCCAGCGACTGCAATAAATACCCGTAAGGCCCCATGTAGAGCTACTGTTTGGACATTGGCCAACATTGGGAAAAAGGTTGAAACGAGGTAAAAATCTGTGGCGTGGCGGCTCCAGAGATGTGTAAACAGTAGTTTCTGTTGGTTTTTCTCGCTCTCCGAGGGGCTAAGCCACATACTACATACTACCAACTCCCGCTTAGCCTTGTCTGTTTTTTTTTTCGTGTTGATGTTAAGTGTTTTTCTTTCGTTTCGGTTTTCAGTTTTCTGTTTTCAGTTTCCAGCTTGTGTATTGTCGTCCAGTGTCGTGTTGCCTCAATTTGTGTTTGGCTAATGAAAATACCTACGAGAAACAGACGACGCGGCCTGGCCAGTAAGCGATTTACGATATTCGGGGGGCGAACACAACAGGCATTTTCACTTGCTCGTCGAACAACACATTCCACAGCAAATGACTTCATTGTGGGGAACGGCAGTTCGCTGAGCTATAAATTCGCAACCGCAAGACAATGGGCGCCCAGAGCTGAGATCTCTGTACGAATCGGGGGCAGTCTGGCGGGTTAACAGTTTCTTCCCTCCTCCCCACGATGATGAAGATGATGATGATGATGATGATGCGTTTGTAATGGAATTCAATGCATTTAATGGAAATTCTCGCATTTACATAATCGATGCAGGGCAGCCAGTGCCTTGTGCCTTGGAGCAACAAGAAAAAAAATATAAGCTCGCACGCAAATTAAGCAGCTAGGGCAACTGGGCAACTCTTGAGTCTAGAGACTAGTCCCTGACCATGCCAACTCAATTTGCCTGAACAGAGCTTCCAGCAGCAGCAGCTTCCCCTTGTAAAATTTACATTTTGCAGGGGGGCATCATCGTTTGTTCTTGTTGTTTATGCGCTTAGATTGTGTCCGTGTGCAGGTCTTGATTTAAGATACTTGCTTAATGTGTAATTTAGTGCATTTAGATAAGTTGCATAGTGAATTTTTGATGTGTGTTGCCATCGCAAAGGGAATTTAATGCATTGTCTTGCTGTGGATGCTGGAACTACTGCTGCTGGAGCTGGTGCTGATAATGCTTTTGTTTATTTAACGGCGCTAAGTGCATTGGTTGCATTTGCATAAATCGTTCGGTGGTTTTCATGCTGGAGAGCCCTCTATAGAGGAGTGGCGGTGGTGGAGAGCAGAGTGCAAGCCGACGCATTAAACAATTTGTGGCATTTAACAGACGTAATAATATTGAAAAAACGAGGTAGAAGTTAACCCATTGAAGTGGGTTTTTATGACAGGATATATTGTAGCACTCTATATAATTTTTAAAAATATTTTAACGAGCTTTCAGATCACAAGAAACCATTTGAATTACTTTTTCTTTGTGTCAAGTTCATTTGAAAAGGATTTTTGTATCAGGTTTTTAAATCAGAATAAATTATAATCCTTTATAAAATTTTATAAATATTTTTAAAGAGGGTTTTTTAATATATTTTAAAACAAGAAATAATTATTATAAAATTTAAATGAGCTTTCAGATCATAAAAAATAACTTTTAATTACTTTATCCTTGTGTCTTGTTTATTTAAAGAGGGTTTTTGTAATATATTGTGAATCAAAATACATATTATACTCCTCTATGAAATTTTTAAAATATTTTTAAGTGCTTTCCAGTTTATTTCTGGGAATATAAACTATTTAAGCTTCCTTTAAAATACTTTTTAAAATATTTTAAAGACTTATCAATGACTTTAAAGAATTTTTTTTAAACCTTAACCCTCTTAAAATCACTTTTCCCTTGGTCTTTACTCAATTTCCATTACCAGGCACCTTGTATTTTTCTTTACTATAAATTTACCACTATTTTTCGCCATGGGTTAATGTCCAGCTATCGATGGCCTGGTCCTGGCTACAAGGGTTAAATGTTTTTGTCCGCTCGCTCGCTGCCTGTGTGTGTGTGTGTCCGTGTTAATCACAAAAGCCAATATGCAGCTGAAAGCCGTTTGTTAATGCGTTATGCATTGCCACACTCCATACACACTCCCAGCTCTTTTTTCCCATCCGCTTCACACCCATTGTGATGGCATTAAATCCCGCAGAAAATTCCTTTCTGGCTGGCCAGGCTGTGATAAATTACACAACGCACACATAGAGACTCGCATTTAATAAATAAAAATTCCATTATGGACACACACTCAATGCCTGCCTCAAGCTCAATCAAATAACAAAGAGAGCCTCTGGCTGCCTATAATAAATGACGTTGCACCTCCTGCTGCCTGTTTGGGGGGGCTTCAAAACTCCGCTTACGAGCCAGGGACAAGCTTGTCAATTGCCGAAACATGTACTGTCCTCGTCTTTTTACACACTTTTTTTTGGTTTTTAAAGGGAATTCTACTGGCGCCGCTTCCAACGCCCACAATGTCCAAAGCTTGTTGTTGCATCATCGGAAAACCGGCATGCAACAATTGTGTGTGCCTCTGAAACAGAGGAAAAAAAATCCTGTTTTTGTTAGCCGGCTGCTGTTGGTGTTGCTGTTGGAGTTGTTGATGTTGCTGCTGGTATTGCTGCCGCAACATGCTGTAATTAACCCGTTTGTCATGCAAATAAATCAAAAAGTAACACCGCTCTTATAGTACCCCTCCCCTGGGTAGGGAAAATGGGGCCGGGAAAATGTGTTAAATGCGATTCCAACTGCATTTTGAGTGCATTTTCCTTGTTTCACTCGAGCGTTCCCATGCCAAAAACTCATTTGCAACCACTTGATCATGGAATGCGGGGATTTTCATTTGAAAGAATCTGATTTTTTTTCCCTCCGATTTTTCCTCGACAGCGATCAAAATTTCGTGGTTGGCAGGCAACCAAAAATTTTCACAGAAAGAGGCGAAAATTAATTGCAACCGAATGCGTTAAATGCCTACTCGCACACGGCTGTAGTGGGGATTTGTACAGGGGAAACGTGCCGGGATCCCTTGTCCGACGATCGACTGCAATTTAATGCCTCAATTTTCACAAACCAAATGCTACGTGCGTTCCCAAAAATAGCCGAGAGTTTGCCTTGTATTTGGATTATTTCGGTTTTTGGTTTTCGTTTTTTTTTCGGTGCTTCCTTGGCTGCCACGAAGACAAGTTCCGCGTGCGCCAATTTTGGCCTAAATGGCAATGAACTTGAACGTCGCGTCGCGTGGAAGTTTCTTGGCGCCCTGCGATTTGATTTTGGTTTTCGGTTTTTTTGTTTTTACGTGCCGGCTGTTTTCATTTCTTACTTTCCGTGGGTTTTATTTCTTTTTGTGTTTATCTTTGTCGTTTAGCGTTCAGTTTTTTTGGTCACGCGATGCCGTCAGGCGTAACAATTAGCCCGAAAAGCAAAGGGAATATATATATATATATACATAGTATGTTATTAAAGGTAAGAGTGAGTGACAAGGGGGTGGGGCTGTTGCTTGTTTGACGGATAGATGGACAATAAATTTACATTAATTTCCTTTGAAATGGGTCAGAATTTGAGGCCTGTTTTGAGGGCCAATCAAGGCAGCAGGCATGTTGAGTGGATTTTTTGGGCTTAACTAAGCGCCAAATCAGGGACCTTGAATGGGTTTTATTTTTATGATTTTATAAACAAAAAAAGTAAATATAAATATTTTTTAAAATTTTCTTTTAGCTTATATTTTTAAAAATTCCCTTTTGAAATCAAAAACCCTTAGGATTTATGTTGTAAAAGTTTTCTTTACAACCTGCCAGGACTCTTGTGTGTTTCACTTACTTTCCTCTTACATTTACACCAATTTTCACTGTATCCACACACACACAAACACTCACTCAACTTTCACAGTTCTCACCTAATAAAAGTGACGAAGACATTTTCTTCGTGATGACAGCCACCAAAAAAAAGTTTGCTTCACAAAAAAGGAAGCAGAAAAAAAAGAGGTGATGTATGAAGATGGGCGAAGAAACCTAGGAGGAGGAGGGGTTAGGGGAGAGGGAACAGCTTCCTGGAATTGGGGGCGTGACAGCATGAAGTGTAGCGTAATAAAATGCACACAATTTACGCAATTTACGTAAAGCTAAAAAACATAACAGGCAAACAAGGACGATGGAGGGGTGTGTAAGTAATGGGGAGGGAAGTCGCAGCAAAGGCACTTAGCGCAACTCACACACGCACACACATGGTAGTGATGATGGCGGCACTAAATACAGTTGTTGTTGCTGGTGTCCTGATGTCCTGGCTGCTATGCGTTGGCTCGATTCCTTTGCCGCAGCAGCAACAGCAGCTCCTTGTTGTTCAAACAGTTTTCAACGCGTTTTTCGCATTTTAACAGCCGCCATTTTGCTGGCGTTTGTATATTTTTCTATGTTTTTCTTGTGTTTTTTTTTTCCTGTTAGCTGCTGTTGTTGCATTTGCCGGCTTTACGCTATCATTGTCATGGTTGTTGTTGCCGTTTTTGCTGCTGAAATGTTGCTCTATTTGCCTGGGTTTTGTTTCGTTTCATTTTGGCTGCCCTGGGTGTGTGTGTGTGCAGTGTGTGTGGTGTTTTTTTGGTATTCTTGTATTTCAGCTGGTTCTTTTTGTACATTTTCTTTTAGCCAGCATGTTTCGAAATTCAATTTTCGTCAAGTTGGCAACAGGCACATGAAGACAGCCAGTTGATGTGGGTGGGCCAGGAGTAGCTGCTGCTGCTGCTGCTGCTGGTGTTGCTGCTGCCTCCTCTCCACTTGTGACAAGAGCAACATTTGTCTATGTCGAGCTGCGACGACATGCAATAACTTTAACTGATTTTTCGCACACACACAAAGACACATACAGCCAGGACAAGGACCAAGTCTGCCGAGTATTTATAATTCTATTTATGTTTCAATATAGGAAGGAGTATGGCCTGCCTTGTGTGCCTGGGAAACTGGCCACACACACGCTGGCGGCAGCCACTCAAAAAAGTTCACCCGTCAGGCTTAATGATAAAGTGAAAGTTTTTTCAGCCTTGGCTGGCTCTCCCGGCTTTTCTTGCCATCTTGTTGCACATTGGCTTTGCATGCGACGACACACACAGAGGCGAAGGACCAAAGGAGCAAGGCTACGGCTATGGCTACGGCTTCAGCTGGATGGTCTGGCATGAAATCAAGTTGACTTTTCATTAACAGCTCAACAATGCCTTGGCCTGGAAGGAGGGTGACTGGTGACTGGGGACTGGGGACTGGGAACTGGGCTTTTCGGTTTGCTTTGGCTTGGCAAGCCAAGTTAAGTTGTTTTTACTGCCTGTCATAGCGGACTTAAAAAGCACATACTCACACACGTACATGCGGGCTTTCCAACCAAAGTTGTCCCGCATTATGGCCTCTCCCATCCCGCCTGGTCTCACCCACTTAAGTACGCCCCGCACTGCAACAACAGCAATTAATGCGATTTGTTCAACATTTTACATGTTAACTACTTGAAAGAAAACATAATTTTCGTTGCCAAGACAAGAAGACAACATGAAAAAAATGCCACAAATTGGAGGAGGAGTAATTTGGAACCCAACAAACATTTATTATTATAATAATAAATTGCTGCAAATGATGATTGACATTGAATACGTGTATGTGCCAGAGTGTTGCCTGTACGCAACCGATGTTCATCAGCAATAAAAATGGCAGAAAATTGCGCATACGCAACGTTGCACGTTAACACAGTGGCGATTAAAAGGCGTTCAGCCCGGTTTTATGAGCCACAAACCCCCCAATGTCACCCACATACACAGAGGAAGAAGATGATCTGGGCTGCTTCATAAAAATCCCCATTTGACGTGACTGGGAGAGTGAGAGAGAGAGAGAGGGGGAAATGGGAGCCACTTGATTAAATGAATATTCCGCTGCGGTGGCTGCGTGACTTCCTTCCGAGTGCCACCCATTACCTAATGCGGCTCGGTTGCGTCAATTTTTGGTTTCATTTGAAATGAGCAGAAAATACGAAATTCCCATAAATGTTTGAGAGACTTTTGGCTGCCCCTTAAATATTTAATGCCATCGGACGAAAGTATGCATTTCATTTGAGGGCTCCAAGGCTGAAGTTTTTTCCTTTAGTGGTTGTCAAGCACTTTCGCTTTTAATTAATTGATATTAGAACCGGCCAGCTATGTTTACCCCGAGATAGTGGGGCAAAACAAATCGCATGATAAGATATTGTTTAGAAACTTTGGCTAGAGCTAGATAAGAGCTTGGATTCAATTAAGGTAAGTTGGTCAATGCCTTGGCTGTGTGCGGAAACTGTGCCATCGTGGAAAATGGAGCGAGCTCCCTAAACGCTTTTTACTTGCACATCTCGGGGACTTGCCCCCGCTTTGTTGTCAGCAACGTCAAGTTGCCATGGCGCTGGCATCGTGACAGGTGCCACTGCTGCTGCTGCACTGCTGTGTGGCAATGTACCATGTACTGTTGCTGTGCAGCAGGGCTGCGTAAGCCACGCCCCAAATATG